GTATACTTGGTATCAAGCATAAACTTTGTGCTTGGTAGTAAGGTGTACTATTCACATCCACTCATTCAAATTCCCAACCACTCTTACTTCTTTTTCATAGCATTTGTATACACTAAAAGCTGTTTAAAATTAGCAATTTTCTATATACGATTGTGCAAATGTAAAAAGTTTTATTCGACTGTTCTAATATGAGAATATTATGGTGAAAATTTTCACACCTGCACAACTATGGACAATAAACTGGAAATTTTAGAACAACTTAGGGTATATAATAACGGCAAAAATAAGTGAAATTCTATAAATGCAAAGTGAGTAAAACTATAAGATATTTAAGTGGGCTAAATGTCACTTAAAATGCCCTATTGTTTCACCACCTTTACACTTAAATACCCTATGTTGTAAAATGTAGCACTTTAATATCCCAAATTGTTAAAAAATAGCACATTAATACACTAAATTGTAAAAAAGTAACACGTTAGTACCTTTGTTTGTTGCATATGTGAATATTTATAGAAATATTCCCGTGTGACGAGCACATGAATTTTTATTATTACGTTGACCCCACTTATTGCAATATTTACAATTATATTTACTATCCATCTTTTTATTAAATTTCTAGGGTATTTTTGTCATAATAGATTTTTTTAACGTTGCTTATCATATTCTAACTGTGGACAATTCTAACGGTGGATAATCTAGAACATTTATATGCTATTATTTTTTATAAATTAGGGTGTTCTAGTGTAAAAGGTGGTGAAACAATTGGGTATTTATGTCCCATTTAGTGCTATTTAGCCTTGAAAAAGAAGGGGGCCTGAGATCAAAACTCTGGTCAACCCAATCTAACCTATGAATACTAGTAGGGGTGTGCAACGGTCGGTTCAGTTCGGTTTTTACTAAAATTTGAACAACCGAACCGAACCGTCTATAATTCAAAACCGAACCGAACTGTTGCAAGTCGGTTCAGTGCGGTGCGGTTCGGTTTGTTCGGTTCTAACTTTATCAAACTTCTTATCAAACAACAAACTGTGTTAAAGAAAAAAATATCAACAAAGTAGGAGATTATGAAGCATTAAACACTGATATAACGATATTGTTTTCAACCCATAATGATCCAGAAAATCAGTTTAGAGTTTGAGTCTTTGACTCTTTGGGGACGGGTCGGGTAGCGTTTGAGATCAGAATGGGTAGTATTGCACTATATTCGGTCGGTTCCGGTCTGTTCGGGTTGAAAAGTTTTCAAACCGACCTGAACCGTCCTACTCATAAAACCGATTTTTTTGGGTCGGTTCGGATCGGTTCGGTCGGTTTGGACCGAACCATGCTCAGCCCTAAATACTAGGATACCACTTGGAAGCCCACCGCATGTACCTATAGCCCACATGTATGTTCATCGATTAGCTCTATGCCCACAGATAGTTGTACGTCAGCATTGTAGAGCCCACCGCAGCACATCAGTTCTCCCGAACCCAAAAAACGTACGGCTCCGAAGCCCATCCTCTGAACCTTGTCATATTCCGAAGCCCACAATAAATTGTTCAGGTGATTTGTGCCAAGCCCACCACATGTCCATCAATTTTCCCTTACCTAGCAATTAAGCCTTAAACTTGTCTTTTGTCCCGTTAAAGTAAACAACGTGGCGTGGGACCAAAAAAGGAAGCCCACTCCAGGAAAACTGGCTCACGCAAATTTAAGATGCTAATTAATTAATTACAAACTTTTCAATGTTCTTAATAATTTTTTCCCCCCACTAATAATGCCTTATGATATTTTTATACAAAACCCTAAACAGTTGACGGCAGTTTTGTTAGTTTCTTAGAAAAAGACACACGGCTCGAAGCCTAAAAAGCCAACCTCAGCACTTCCCTTCGATTTTCATCACTTTCTCAATTTCTCCTCCTTCCATTTTTTTCTCTCTCGCTTTACCAAAAACCCGTCCACGAAAATTATTTTTCTCATGATCAAAACCCTAATTCACTCGATTCTTTGAGATTTCAAGAGATTTTTGGGCAATGGGGGAGAAGAAGAAAGAGGGAAACGAGTTACAGAGGAAACCCCACTTCTTCAAGGTTTTGATTGGAGAGTTCAAACTACGGCTGGCAAGTTCCCTTTTCTTTTTGCCCTTTTTACTTTGTTTTTTTTAATTGAATGAAGAAAGTTTGGATATTTAGTGTAAATGTTAATAGATAACTGATAACAACATTGAATCGCATCGATTTGGCCCCACTCATTTTAAAAACAAGCTCTTGGTGATCGGATATGCTAGAAATTTGTTTTTCTCATTATTCTCTATTCAGGATCATTTCTAGCTAAGTAACCAATTAGCCTGTCTTTATCCTAATTACCTCCATCAGTGTACCTGTAGGTCTATTATTAGTTGCCATTGATCCATTAATATATGACAATAATCTTCGGAATGCACCAACAGATCAGACAAATGCGCAAAAAATATTAAAAGAGACGCAGAAAAAAACAATGCATACATGCTCCTGCATATCCTTTGCTGAAATTAGCATGTCATGAATATAAATAGAAAAACATTGAAAAGAAAATCTTCGCTTTCTGAAGGACACATAATTTTCATACATGCTCCTGCATCTCTAATGTGAAAAATAAAATGGATCAAAATGCTATACCACTGGTTGGGAATATACTTCAATCATTAAAAAGATTCCTCCAACTACAAAAGATAGACTTATTTTCATCTGGTTTTGTTAAATTTGCAGTTTGAATCAGTTATTGCAATTTGTCTCTACAAGTATTTTTCGAACATATACATGTAGACATTCATATAGGTATTATCTTGTGCACACAATAGTAGCACATGGGTACATCCAACATCCTCGTTTAAGCATAAACCCGTATTGTGGTGTATGCACACACAGCACAAATTAATTTGCAACAATCACTACCATTGAAATTATTTGAGTCAAGTACGGTCAAATATTCCTGTATGGCTGATAATTGCATCGAAAGTTTCTTTTTTCTTGGAGTGAAATGCACTGAATGATGTCGTACAGATCTACATGCATACTGGTGGTTATTGATTAAAACTTTTAGTTATTGAGGGTTAACAATTCTACAAATTGATCTTCAAAATTAAGTCCCATAGCATATAACAGACATCTAAAAGGAAACTTTTTTGGGGTGCTGACCATACAGAAGCACATGCTTACCTGGCATTTGCAAACAATAAAATTCTTTTCTCAAGTTTCTTTGCCAACCACAAAGGGCATCCCTTTTTTTATAAATATTATTGAAGCCCATGTTCCTCCACTTTAATGCCGTTAAGAATGTCAATTGGTGTTTCCTAACATATTCATACTTTCCAGCAAGATAAGTTTTGCACGTAAAATGGTTATTGGCTGTGTAATACTTAAGGGTGCCAAGATGATAGTGTCAGCAAACTAAGCATACAAAATGATTTCTTGTCTAAGAGACATGAATTTTTTTTCCCAAGCATTTCTACACTGGAAACAAGCTTAATGGTTTTGATTTTTCATGTATGTCTTCCTCAAATCTTTAGAAGATGCCGCCAAACTTCTTGAAGCATATATCAAATGAAGCATCACAAAAAGCCATGCTTGAGGGTCCCAATGGGTGCAGTTGGCCTGTGGAGATTACTAGATCCTTTGATGGAACATTCATATCCAGTGGATGGTCAAAGTTTGTTGAAGATCACTCCTTGAAGGAGCAGGAGTTCCTAGTCTTCAGGTACAATGGGAATATGCATTTCAGCATTCAAGTTTTTGACACAACTGCATGTGAGAGAGAAGACTTGTTTCCAATTCAATCCTACATGAAGCCGAAGTTACCCAAAGAAAGGAAGAAAAGAGGTAGACCGAGAAAGCATCCTCTGAATGTTGTCTGTCATATTGAGTGTAAGGAAACCAAGAGTGAGCCTCAGGAACTTCCTACATGTGATGGTCATGAAGCCAAACACATGCAAGATGATATTATCAACTCAGTGGAAGGTAAGTTAGTATTATTAAATATCTTGAGATTCATGAGAAAAATCTATATTTGCATTTTGCATGTAGATATAGTTATTGTTCTTTAAGTGTAAAATATTTCTTCATTGCTGGAGATATATGGACTTTGAGTGCCACAGGTGATAGACATATTTATAATCTGTTGGAACCAGTTGATTGAAAATGAGAGAAGCAATTAGGAATATCATCTCCTAATAGTTCTTCACATAATCTCTGTTAACCATTTGTTAAAGTTAGTTAACAGCTTTTTGGTTTATATATAAGTACTTGTGGAGTAGAACTAGCTGATCTCAATTAAATGGGCAACAATGAATGCATAAAGAAACTTCCCAGGATATTTACTTGAGTTTACTTTTCATTATTGTGCATTTATTTTTCAACTTTATCTTTTATACCAATCTTACTTAAAAACTGAACCTGTGTTTTTGATTTAAAGTAAACTAGACACTTTTTTGTTAGTCTGCATGATATATCTCTTGTGCTTGAACTACAAAACTCGTTACGACGTTCATGCAACTCGGTCTATCTGACTTAGACCATTCTCTAACTAATGACAATGACTATACCTTTATCCGAAATCTTTGGTCAGTTGCATGAATCCTCCATGTCCATATAGCTATGTCAATTTAACAAATATCATGCATTCCTTCATCCATGCCCTTTAAGTTTACCCTACTTTCATTAACCATGATCCAATTGCGCCAAATGTACTTGCCACAATCAACACAAAGGATTATCCCTCGTTTTCCCCCAAAGTGTTTAATGTAAAATAATAATCCTATGCCACTCACCAAAACTTTAGAATTTTTGTGCAATAATAGGCGCTTTAAATGGTTCTAGAGAACACCAGGGCTCAAATCCTACTGCATGTGCATTTTAAAAGAGGGTCTTAAAGGAAAAACAATGTGCAAAATCTCCATATTTCAGACCAGAACTGAACACTCATCCTGTATGAGTGCTTTGGCATATAAAATTGGAACTTTCAATACTCATCACGACTTCAAAATTTTGATTGTTCCAGGAATTTAATTTGGTAACAGAGCCATCAAGGTTCATATTGCACTGGTCACATTTAAATAAAGGGATTTTAGAAGGAACTACAGTGCTATAAAAAACAAAGGTTTGTGTACATAAAAAGAGTCTTCAACTGCAAGGATGTGTTAAGATATAAATTTGTAACCTCAACTTTCACCATAACTTCAGATTTTTGGTGTTGAATATGAGCGTCTCACGTATGAAATTCTCTCAACCCTCACCGTGAGTTTGTAGTTTGTTACAGTCTATTAACTTCAACAACAATGACGTAACCTATTACTTATGACATGCTCATTCTACCCATCTTAGCTGCTTGTGTGTGTGTGTGTGTGTTGGGGGGGGGGGGGGGGGGTACTCAACCTGAAAATTCAAAAGCCCTTCTATACTTGATATTTACCATTATTCCACCAGATTATATATAACATTCCATATTAGATTCCTCTTCTTAGTAAGGTTATTATTTCCATCTCTGAAATGCTTTGCCTTCTTACTTCACCTGCATGCTAATTTTCTTTACATTCTTAATTGTAAGACATTCAACAGCTTCCCAGTCTCATCGTCATGCTTGATAATCTGTATAAAGTAGCGAAAATGGTCCCTCCTCTGTATTCCTTGGCTAAATAAGCTTACCTTCACTCATCTCACAACTCTGTCAATGGTAATGTCGTTATATTTATGCCTTTGTTCCATAGGCTTTGCTTCTCTCTATTTCTGGAATTTGTTGGTTATCCTTATCCTTTCATTTAGTTCCATTAAGTAGTACAAATGCCACTAGCAAAAAAAATAAATAATAATAATGCACCTTTTGACCTCCTCTCAAATACCGTCTTTTGATTATCCATATCTAATACAAATAGACTGACCTTTCCTTGGTGTAAGCCAACCATGGTATGTAATTGCTCTATCTCCCCTTTGTATACTTTATTGAGTTATATCCCTCTATATTCTATATGTTTTCACACTTTTTACTGGTCCGCAATGCATCCTTAGTCATAAAATCTGACTGCTATGAATTTTTTCCTAGAACCCGCCATATTATCTGCTTAGGGCGGCTCTATTCTCTAATTCAATAAAATATTGTGCAGATTCCTTTTTATCCTATCAGAAGCTGAAGCTAACCAAAGGAGGGAAGAAAAGAGGCAGACCGAGAAAGCATCCTCCAGATGTTGTCCGTTGTGTAGAGCATCATGAAATCAAGAGTGAACACATGCACGATGATATTATCAATTTAGTCGAAGGTAAGTTAGTAGTAAACAGCTGTTTCATGACAAAGTTTATATTTGCATGTAGATTTAGTTATCATTCTTTTACTGTGAAATATTTCTTAATTGTATGGGATATATGGATTTTAATGAGGTATAAATGTTAGGTACGTTTATAATTTTTCGGAGCTGGTTATTGAAAATGTGAATTAGGAATATCAGATAATTCTTTACATATTCTCTGTGAATTAGATGCTAAAACTAGATGATAAATTTTTGTGCAGAAATCCTCGTGGAGGGAAACAAGTTACAATTGAGTGAAAAGAAATACATAGAAACTTCCCATGACATTCTGCTTGAGTATTCTTTTTCATTATTGTGCATTTTTTCAACTCATATTTGGATAATAATCCCGTATATTGATCAATGCCTTTTGAATTAAAATAAGCTCATCATTCTTTTGTTAATCTGCATTATATCCCTTTTACTTGAGCTGGAGGACTAGATGGAAATCTCCATGCAATTCGGTCTATCTGGCTTAGATTATTCTCCAATTAGTTACAGTGAAAAACCTTTATCCGAGATTTTTATGTCAGTTACTTGAATCATCCATGTCCAATTAGCTTCGTTAAGTTAATAACCGTCTTTCATTCCCCCATCCATACCTGAAT